ATTATATATAGCTGCCATAGGAACGATCGGATAATTAAAGTCAAAATAATACAAAGACCGTTATATTTCGCTTATGTACGGTAGCAAATTAAAATGGAACATTATTCTTATTCTAAAGCCGTACGAGCCACAGTCTTAACTTTAGCTTTAACTTTAACTTTTAACTTGAAATGGAGATCGGTGTAAGAGATTTGACAACTCTAAATCAAGCTTGTCTGCTAACTTTAAGTCGCTATAATAAGACCCAAACTTTTCTTGTTTTGATGTGTACTTTACGCACGTTAAGACCAAATTGTGGTTACATATTAATTACTTCAATACTGTGTTCTCTTGTACTAAAAAAATTATTATCTTGCACAAATCGGAGTTGTATAGTTTTCGGCGGATTCGAATAAGCCTGAAGAGTTATTAGATCTGAACTGAGCTCTAGTTTTTGACGTCCAATTACTCGTACTTTTGATCGCTAATTTTTCTGATAATTGGTAATACGGCAAAAGTTGAGGAGTCTTAAATTCTTACAAGTTCTGATAATGTTTCCAAATTCGACTTCCCAGTATTTGATGGAATTTTACTAAGAACAATTACGTCAAAGTAATATTTAATTGATTCTTTCACGTGTATTTAGTATAAATGGTTTAGGAACTGTGACCATTTGAAAATTTTTCAAAATTTATCTTTAAACATGTATTTAGCATAAAGAGTTTAGGAACTGGGACCATTTGAATGTGAGCAATTTATTGATATTTTCCGCTAAATTAGCGGGTTTTTAAAAAAGTTGTAGAGCAAATGTTTTTCAGCTCAATACTAAAGTGCGTCATAAAATAAGGCAAGATACAAAAAATGATGCACACCGACAAATTTACTTTCAGGTTTCAATTAGAAAATGGTACAAAATGCAATTAAATTGCATAACTTTGCATTGGGCTAAAATTAAAAGATTGGTAAATTTTGCTTCGCCGGTATCTCTACCTTAAATCTTTTAAATCTAACAATTGTATGCGCTAATGAAAGTTAATTTTGTCGTATTCCTTTTTCTTTTACTTTTTAGTTTTAAGAGTAATAAATCACACTGCTTCGGACAGCGAGAACCGAAGATATATGTAGCATTTCATAGGTAGATTCCTCCTGTTACCGAAGCAGGAAACTTGATACTTCAACAGCGATTACCTCGAAATAAGGTTTTACAGAAAATGCTTTTCCGGTGGTCCTGGTTGCTGGAAAACTATAAGTCGGATCGCTTTCGTTTTTTTTGTCGTTGAATGGGTACAATTTAAATTTAAAAAAAAACACTTTCCTTGTTCAGATGGCCGCCATTTCCGATGTTATAGAAATATTGCGATTCCTTCGTTCAGCGACAAGATATTAGATTAAACTGTTATTATACCTGTTACTCGTAGAGTAAAAGGGTATACTAGATTCGTCGAAAAGTATGTAACAGGTAAAGGTATATATATCCTTGATCAGGATCACTAGCCGAGTCGATCTAGCCATGTCCGTCTGTCTCTCCTTCCGGATGAACGCTGAGATCTCGGAAACTATAAGAGCTAGGCTATTGCGACTTGGCCTGCAGATTCCTGAGCTTCTTACGCAGCGCAAGTTTGTTTGTGTCAGCAGAGTGCCACGCCCACGTCACTTCGTTTGCTTGCGGGAGTAGAGTTTTGTTTAACGTGAACGGCGGGCAGCTTTTTTATTTATTTATTTATTTATATCCTAGCGCTACAAGTGCACACTTATAATTATTATTATATTATTATTTTATCTTATTATTATTTTTAAATTATTAAAACAATTTCTCTCGCTCTCTTAATTATTATTAATGACTAACATAAAATTTTCGTAGTTTCTTAGTTACTATTATTATTGTTTTTAATATATTTTTTATTTTTATTTTATTTCATTTCATTTCATTTTTATACTTATGTGTACTGGTATTTTAAAAGATCTTTAACTTTATTGTAAAATTGAGTTGCGCTCCTAATTGTTTTGTATTGGTGCGGTAGATTGTTCCATAACCGGATACCATTTATGAAAAATTGCCTTCTCAAACACAGTGTTTGTACTCGAGGGCATATGTAATTTTTGGTTCTCACAGATGTGGCTGGGGTAAGTTTATTGAAAAGATATTTTGGTTCTCCACTCGTCACTATTTTGTGAAAGAAGATTAAAATTCTGAGATCAATCCAGGAGGTCAAGTTAAGGTCAAGTATTTTATATGTCAGCTCTGATACATGGTCAAAACGTCTTAAGTTTAATACATAACGGACAATTGAATTAAAAGCTACAGTTAATGTGCGCAAATCCCGCGCATCACAATTTCCAAAAATTTCTATGCCGTAAAAGAGAGTGGGCAGGACACAGGCATATATTTCAGTTACTGGTCTACTAACATATATTTGGACATCATCAGCATATAAATGAACTTCACACTCAGACAGGATACTAGGGAGATCATTGACATTTATAGAAAACAATAAAGGGCCTAGCACAGATCCCTGTGGCACTCCCCTGGATAAGTTCCGGAGAGAAGAAACTTGCCTCCCAGAGACGACTGCTTGATACCTATTCGTTAAGTACGACGTAATAAGCTTCGTCGCATTAGTTGAGAAATTAAACATGTTCCTAAGCTTGGTACAGAGAATGTTATGATTCACAAAATCAAAAGCCTCGCTGTGGTCAAGGAGCGTCAAAAACGTTACGCAGTTACTGTCCAGTTCTTGTCTTATATCCTCAACAATATTAGTGATTGCAGTAAAACAACTCCTTTTCTTACGGAATCCAGATTGTTTTTCATCACGTAGAGAATTATTAGCTAAGTATAGTTGAATCTGTGAGGACATAAGGTTTTTAAAGACTTTTGATAGAAAAGGTAATATTGAAACAGGTCTATAGTCATTGTTTAGCTTAGGAATTGGGAACATTTTGGCGTTTTTCCATATTGTCGGAAATGAAGACGTTGTAATAGCCGAGTTAAAAATATATGTAACATTAAGGGGAGCAAAAGCTTAGCAAATTTGGACTCATATTATCGAGACCAACAGCATCGGACTTGACATGCAGAGTACTAGCTAGGACATAACTTTGGTTTATACATATAAAGCTAAAACTATTATCACAGAGGGGTTGAGTATTCAGGTACATCTATTTCCAAAAACTTTTTGTTTATTAATTCGACATCCACCTCAGACTCTGTCTGTTGCTTACATTTTCCAATACCTAACCGTTTTAGTTTGTTCAATCTGTTTTTTGAGTTAACACAGTTATTAAATTGTATGTTATAATGCTCTTTCTTTGCTGATTTTATCTTTTTGTTTACTTTTACCCTAGCCTCTTTGTATTGTTTTCGAAATTCATCAGTTTTGTATCGCTTCCACCGGAGGTAAGCTACATCTCGCTGACGGGTTAGGTTTTTAATTTCACTACTGAACCATGGATTTTGCATTGGCTTAATCACCTTGGTCCTTAGGGGCACAAACTTGTTGAACAAATACTGGACATTGTTGGTTAAAACCTCTAATTGACAATCTACATGACGAAGATGGTAAATACATAACCAGTCACAACACAAAAATTCCGTTTTTAACTCATTATAGTTTATATTTTTGTAATCTCTATACGTAAAAGAATTGATTTAGCTGTCAAAGGTCAAGTCGTATGTTAAAAATATTAAGTCATGTCTGGAGAAGGCTGGTACAGAAACCTGGTCATAATGTATGATTTTGCTAGGGTCATTGATAAGAAATAAGTCAAGTAATGTATCACAGTGGCTGCTATAGTGCGTGGGAACCGTTTCGTTTACGGAAAACAAACCTAGGGATTTAAAGTTATCTACGAGATGGCTTTCTGACAATAGGTTGCTGTTAAAATCACCTGCCAATATGATGTCAGTGTACTCCAACGAAATGTCTGAAACAACATTAAGTAATGACCCCTAGTCAATTGTCCGATTCGGTCTATATATGCAACCTAGAAGGGTTCTTCCATGGGATTTATTGGGAAGTTCTAATAGAATGTATTCAATAGTACTGTCACTTGGCTGTTTAAGTACCACTTTACATTTCAGCTTCACATTCACGTATATAGCAACACCTCCTGCATGACCAGTACGGTCGAACCAATAAACATTAAAGCCTTCACAAATAATAGACGAATCACCTTCAGACACACATATCACTTCGACATTAGACTGAGTGAAAAGGAATCTAAACTCATCAATCTTCTTTAGCAAACTTTGTGCATTTATGTGAAGGATTTTGAGACCATTTTTATAACTACTTATAGTTTTTATCATGGCACTAGCTATGGAACAAACTTCCTCATCCTGCATTGTTGTTATCATTGATTATTAGGGGCGCAATCTCAATATTCAATGCGTATCTTATACATTTCTTAAAGTAAACTAGTTTTAAACGTATCTTAATTAAGAGGATACGATTTATACGCTTAAGAACGAAAGCTATAAGCTTCAGGTCCAGCCGAAGCGTTAGTGAGAGATGTAGAAAGTGGATCAGGCGAATGATCAATGGACGAAAGTTCCTCCATACTGTTAATGCAACAGACACCCTCTCCTCGAGTGCAGTGTACGTGCACAAGGCTTTGCCCGTTCAGGATGAACGTAACGTGCTTGGATTTTTGTTCGTTCACTTTAATTCGCCAATCTGAAATTCGCCAAAAATGGTTATTTTCGACATCGATCAGATGAAGAGCTAGCAGCGCAGTTGCTTGCATCGGGCATTTTGAGCGGCTAAGAATAGCTGTGTCATCAGCAAACGTGGATGCGTAAATCGATGAATTCTTTATCTACACGAAGTGTAAAAATGTGTTGTAGCATGTAGAAACCTTTTTAGTGAATTCCGTATTTTACTGTAAAGCACTTCCTCGAGCTATGATTGAACAGGGTGGTATTTTAAAGGATTCAAATTTAGTACCTTTTCGGGGATGGTATGTTTCTTCGACCCTGTCGTGGCCACACTGGAAACTGCAAGTGACTTGGACACGACCATACGTGCACTCCGATTTCAAAAGCCCGACGATGTGTTACCCTCCGGGCCGTTGTTGACGCGATTTATCGAGGCGGAAAAATCGATTGTGCTCGTGTGATTATTTTTGTTTTGGTTTGCGGCCTCTCGCCCCCGTAATCCCCGCGCGGCCTCGGCCACATGACTCATGCCAGGCAGCAACAATGAAAAACCACAATAAGTACGCCAAGTTGCCCCAAGACCTCGATCTGAGTTTCCACAGCGATTTGGACCTGCTGCCGGACACGGCGGCCGACATCGACGTTGGCCTGGACGCGGATGTGGCCGCTCTCGGTGTGAACGTGCCCGCGTCTCTGGGCCTCGACGAGGACTACGACGAGGAGGTAATCGTCGCCTCAGGCGGAGGAGGCCTTCGACTAGCCCCCACGGCGGCGGAGGCAGTGGCGGATCGCCGGCAGCCGCAGCAGCGCAGGCAGCGGAAGAACCAGCCGCAGCAGGAGCAGGAGCAGATCCAGGCCAAAAGCAAGATCTGCGGCCTGGGCAGCGACAGCGTCATCGAGGTGAGTGCTGTTGGGGGTACAAATACGAAGGGTGGTTGCTCTAGTTAATTGATTTGAATCAACACTTATGGAGGGACTCCGGTTCCTTCGGCGCCTGCAACTTGTGGCTGGTGGGGATTGCAGAGCCCAAAACCTTCTGCGAGACCCGAAGCACAACAAAGCAAAACAAAGAGCGGAAAAATCGATAAGCGACAAAGAAATATTCTGCCGTTTGTGGCAACCCCTGAGAACCGCTTGCGCGGGTTTTCCCCATCGAATCCCTGTTGACTTTTAATCGCCGAGTGGGAATGGGCACGTAAAAGGGCTTCGCAGGTGGGAGGTAGGGAGGTAGGAGCGGTAGCAAGCGGATTTGTTCAGCGGAAGTTGTCTTTAATGCTAATGCGCTCTGATATTAATGGAGTTTGTGTGACACAGTGGTGCTCGCTCTTAGGAGATAAGCCGAAGTGTTCAGGGCAGGCCCTGTCATCAATTTTCCGCATTCTAGATTGCGTCCAAGTAGGACGGTGTCCTAGAAAGCCTTGAAAGGCCAGGGAAAATCAATTGGAAAATCTATAATTCCGCCTCCGCAACTAGTTAATAATTCAACTTGGCTTGGGGGCTGACTGTAGTGCCCACTCTCTTTGCAATCAATAATGCGTCAGACCCGTGTCAATCATAGTTAAATTGTGTCACGATGTACTGTGACTTGGTAGTCAGGTACATTTTTCGCAATCACCTCACATTGGAGTGAGCGACCAGAAAATTTTCGATTAATACAGATGGAACATTTTTGTTTGACCCCATAAAGTCAAATACTCTAAGAGCCAGGGAATTAGGAAGGATTAAGCTTGCAGATCGTAGTGCAGCTTACGTACTATAACTTACAAGGTATTGATTTATGACGCTTTAAAGGTATTGTATCATGGCCTGGAAGTGGTGGTACTTCTGTCCTGACAGGCATTTATACTTGGAACTTAGTTCAGATAACTTGAGCAACTGCGGCACATTTGAGGCTTTTATTTCTGGGGGCGGTTCGTCCTCCATTCACGTTCCGCACCCAATTAAAGCTTACTCTTACTGTTACGCCTCATGCTTCTCATTATGGTTTGCTTGAAGGGGCTCAAGTCACTGCAATCTAACCTAGATTCATTCACTTGCAGTTGCTTTTTTAGCTACACGTATACGCCTTGTGGGTTGTGATAAGTTCCATTTTGAGGCCAAGTTGTAAGCCTCGTTTTACTTTTTTGTTGTGTTTGGGTTCAGTAAACACCACCTGCACGAGAACTTAAAAGGGTATCGGGAACTTTTGAAGTACTCGATTGAAAAAGAGTAGTAGCCCACCCTTTTACAGTATTTTAATGATCTACATCGTGTTTCCTTCACCTACTCATTAATGAAAGAACGGGATATTCTCACCGTAAAATTATTTCAATACATAAAATTTAAAAATGATAATCCAGCTAGTATTAGCTAGGGTGAGACTTAGATACTTTACTAAATGGCAAATTTGCCCTACTATGTAGGAAAAAGTAAAGTAAAGAGTTTTAAGGGTAAGGCAGTCCACCTAGTGACGAAGCTCATTGTAAGAATGTGCAATATATACACACTATATATACTCAAAGAAATTAAAACATGCTCTTGAAAGGAATCGCAAAAACTAAAGAGATTGCATAAACCAGGATTAACCTGGATAAGCGGGAAACAGCTATAAATAGCTAAATTTTGTTCGCTCGCAGCTTGTGAATTAAAAAAGCTACAGACTTGTTCGTAGAAAATATATTTTGAAATACGATGAAAGCCCTCTTAAGGAAATTGGTCTAAATGTGAAAATTATGGCCAACATTTTTTTTAATCTTAGGTTTTTATTGCTTTATAACGCTTTTAACTAATTCTTTTTAAACTTTAAACTGTTAGCCCTTGAGGTTTCCCAATTTTTGACATGTTATACTTTGCAATTTAAATTTTTTTTACAAGAGAGAACGCTATAGTGGAATGCCTCGACTATCAGATACCTGTTCCTCAGTTAATCATCTTTAAAATCAATACAAGTTCGAGTAGAGGCAAAGAAGCATCGATGTATAGATTTACATTTTAAACTTTTATCTACTGACTGTGACGTCATTGACGATGTTTTTGCGAGATATGTACATACGTGCTTAAGGTCATTACTTATCACTGTGGACGACAGTCCACGTAGTGGTGAAGCGTACCCAGGAGAGTGTGCAAAGGTTACTGCTATATATAGCCGCAGAATTGAAAATCTGCAGTGTTGGTTCGATCATATCGAGTGATAACTAATTGAACGGTAAAACAAAAAGCATTGCATACCAAGAATTTTAAAATTTCAGTTGGTTTGGGAGCAAAAGCGGTTAAAGTGTAAAAGTGAAAATGTTCAAAATTGAAGCTGTTGGGGCCGAAGGGGATAAATGCCTAGTTTTATTTTTACTGAGAATATGCATCAAATGACACCTTACTTGGTAAAATCCTATGCTCCGTTCAAGAGTTGTTTCAAAAATAGGATTTCTAAAATGAAAATGTTTGTCCCTTTGTTTGGAAACTTTAGATAGAAATCTTTTGTTCTACGGTTTTTCGAAGTTATAGTTTTTTGTAACACCCTTTTGCTTCTTTTTTCAAAATTGGTTTCAACGATTTCTTATTAAATTTGAAACTATTTTACCCTCTTTCAACCTTTGTTGTATTACACTTTTTGTCGTAAAAACTACCGGTTTGGAAGATATTGAGCGATAAAATGTGCATCCCGTTTCAGTCAGTATTTAAAACATTTCATGCTTACTTGAATAGCCGAAGACTATGCAACATTAATTTGATGATAAACTATTCATATTAGATATTTTTTAAGAAAAAGGAAAACATTTAGAAGTTATTCATTGAAAAATAAAAACTGAAGGATCTCATTCGGCACGCTACAATAGAATATGCCTTTGTATGCGAGAAGCTCAAATATTTTCGTATATATATTCTTGATCAGGATCTCTAGTCGAGTGGATCTGTCTATGTCCGTCTGTCTGTATGAACGCTGAGATTTTGGAAACTATAAGAACTAGAATGTTGGAATTAAGCATGTAGATTCTTGGGCTTCCTGCGCTGAGTGCCTGTTTCAGCAGGGTGCCACGCCCACTCTAACGCCCATATCTGTACAACTTTAATTTTGTTATTTTAATACCAACATACTTGCTAAACATTTTTCAAATCAAACCAACAATTATTTTTATTTTTCTTGTTATTTAGTCGAATGTACAAGCATTTTTTGTCACAAAATTTGATTTCAGAACTTTGTTTGTTCAAGGTGCAATCGTCACAACCCCCTAACCCGTTAAGAAGTGCTTTTGTTTGATAAGTACAGTTCATATGTGTACTTTAATGTGATAATGGTCGCGTTCAGTGTATTTAATCGTGGCAGTGGCGTAAAATATCTACGATTGCAGATCTTTGAAAAGAATATTGGCATAGGTGGAGGTGTGCCTGGTCCTTTGTACAACATAGGCGTTTCCTCTGACCTAGCAGGAGAGTGGTAGCATCTCTCTGTTGCATGTCTGCTTTTGTGACATGCAAATTTATGCATACAGTGCTGTGGTACAAATGAATTTTTAGCACGCCCAAGGAAATTTATCATCCACCCCGGTTACAGGGTTCCGAACCCGATTCCGCTTTCCCCAAAGTTTCAGCACAAATGGAAGCTGGCAAAATGACGGGCAGCATTTAAGAGCATTTATTATAATCATAAAACACAAACTACATTATTATGCATTGTCGTTCCTCCGAGCGTGCCATGTTGGAAGGATATAGAAAGGGTGAGGACGGAAGCCCGGAAGTGAGCGAAGCCCTAGAATAGTTTGTTGCATTTTCATGGAACGACAATGTGCAAAGTTTCGAGCTACAACCCAACCCAAATTCGAACTATCGACGCAAAGTTGCTGTAGGTCCAATCCTGCGACTCAGGGACTCTCGACAATTTTTATGTTTTGATAAGAAAACCGTAGACTTTAAAAACGACATAGATATACATGAATCAAATTAGATATCAATTTTATTCTGTTATTGGCAGAAAATCTTTAACAAGATGACCAATATTAACTGTTCAAGGGGTTCGCGATTTTAAGACCTAAATATTTTGTGCCACTTTGGCATTATATATAATTTCTCTATGAGTAAGGGGGTTTCAAAAGTTGAAACTTGTTTTTAGCTGCACTCCGGACCTGCGCAAATATAATTTGCACTTTTAATTGCCGTACAGAGAAAGGGGAAAGCTCATTCCCTTCATCCTAGCGTCGACTCAAAATTTCCCTTCAATTAGTATGTCTGTGTTGCTGTAAATGCTGGCGCTACAATGCAAATTTTATTCGTAGCCAACGTTAATGTAGACTCCTAATAAGCTGCCCTGGTCGCTTAGTTCACAAAGCTGACATCGAAATGCTTTTAGGGGCTTGGTTTTTCCGAGTATCTCGAACTTTGAGCATATTTATTATGACCCACGCCCCGGGCCATGCATCTAAATCGATATGCTTATCAGTGTGTGCAAAAACCTGTTAATTTATGTTTGATAATTGCATTTGCCTAGCTGCACCCTACTCTGCCCAATTTATCAGCTTCCAAATGTTATGACTAGTTTTCTAGGGGAGCTGAGCTTCTCGTTCTACATTTTTGGGTAACCAAAACCTGAAACATTCAGAGTTTTTTATTTACCCACAAAAATGTTGTGAGCCCCACAAAGTTTACAAATTGAATTAATTGCGTGCAAAATTCCAAAAAGCGTAAAGAGTACAAAGCCACTAAATGTTGGTTGGCTTCCTTTCCGGAGCCCCTCCTTCGTTCTCAGCTTTTTGTTGTCGGCGCTCCTTTCAAAGCTGGTAGAAAAATGGCTACGAGGGTCCTTGGTTGGAGCGGCATCCGGCTAAAAGGCGTTCTTAGGAAAATTATATTGAATCAAGGCTACCAAGCGGAGCATTGAGATGAAAGGTTGGGGAACGGCCCGCAGAATGCGTTGGCTTCTATGAGGGAAC